ATGAAGAAGCAGAACAACATCATCCTCTTTACAGCTGGGAAGATGTTCCTCTCAAAGATGATAGTGAAGTACTTCTTCATCATCACCATCATCCTCGTCACCTTCATCATCAAGAAAATGAATTCCCAGCATCGCGATCTGAAATTATCAACATGGATATAGAAATTAATGGACAAGTCAGAAATCAGGCTGGAAATCAGTCTGAAAATGGCTGGAATCACAGGTATGAGGCTATCTGGGCTGCCGGACCTCAGCCGGATAGCCAAGAAAAAAATACGGGTGAAAGAGAATAAATGTTCATCTTCCCCCACCCAAAAGCAACACCCAACTCACCAACGACGTCGCTAACAGCAGCTGAAATACAGCCAGTATTCCATGGACTGAAAGTAACGGCGAAAATGACGGAACTGATGCCAAAATCACCAAACAAAACAGAAACTGGAAAACAGAAGCGGAAAAAAAGAAAAAGAAACAAAAAAAGAAGAAAGAAACTCCACGGCAACCATCACACACCACTGTTAACTTACAGAATGACAATCGTGAATGGTACCACTGCCATTGGGACAATGGAAATCATCACGCAAAGACAAAACGCGATGAAGCAGCATTTCCCTTAAGAAAACGTGAAATTTGGAAAAACGTCACCACCATCCTCAACAAAAATGCCAACCAAACTCACAACTAGTGTTCCTGGTTGATTATCAAAAAATCGACTATGGCCGATTTTTCAACTTAGTCAGTCAATTTTCAAAAAATCAGCTGGTCGATTCTTGTATAATATACTAAAAAAGGAAATGATATATCAGGTCACGATAATTAATAAAAATGCGAAAATTTGACACGTAATTTCATTTTTGTCAAATGTCCCAACAAAACTCTATTCATTTTCGCTATTATAATGGTTCTAATGGTGATTTTTCACCAATTATTATTGAGATAGAACAAAACTATAATAGAACAACACCTATACATTCACAATTATCACCGCTACCACTACCACTACCACTATCATCACCATCACCAATACTTCATGACGTGTTTTTAGAAAAACCAGTAGTTAATTTTGCTCAAGATATACGACCAAGCATCAACAGTAATAAAAGATCTAAACCAGGAAAAAGCTGGGTATAGAATCATATGAAGAAAGACAAAATTAACAAAAAGGTCAAATGTCTCATTTGAAGTGATATCAATGGTGATCTTAAGCAATGTACACGTCTTTTTGAACTCAAGACCAGTACAACTAATTTGGCTACTCATCTTTGAGTTGAACATTGATTTGACAAAAATGGTTCTTTATTACCATTAAATGGTAAACAAGATCAAACAGTCTTGTCTCACTCAGTTCAGCATGCCACATTATCAACACAATCGCAGCTTTGATAAATTCTTCACAACCAACTTTACAAGAATTCACCAAGTATAAAGCATCATTATCCAACAAAAAACAAGATCGAATTACTTCTCGCATACTGGCATGAATAGTTGATGACATGCAACCTTTTAATGTTTTAAAAAATACCTATTTTCAAGACATTCTATATGAAATTGATTCATAAGTTTCTTTTCCTGGTGAAGACATTTTCAAGCAAAAATTACACCAAGCAGTAAACTATTCAGAAAATTATTTGAAAAATCTTATTAATGACACTTTGGAAACTTGTGCGTTTACAACTGACTTGTGGACTAAAGCACATAAATCTTACATTGGAATCACCATACATTGGCTTACTTCTGGATTTGAAATGCACAAGACCTTGCTTACAATTGAAAGCTTTCCATATCCACATACATCCGAACACATTGAAGATTGTTTGTGTAAAGAACTAGTAAAATGGAATTTAAGCAACAAATGTTTAGCAGGTGTAACAGATAATGCTAGTTCAATGGTAAAAGCAATGAGAGATCTTGAAATCTTACATATTTGGTGTACGGCTCATACTATTCAACTTGGAGTTACGAATGGCTTAAAAGAAGCAACTGTTTTAATTAGTCATGCAAAAGCCTTAAATACCTTCAGATAAATACTGAAAACGATTACAATTAGTACAACTCGAAATGGCCAAAGCAAATAATCCGTTACTAGAAAACAAAGATGTTTCAGTATTAGATCCAATATCAAATGATATTACAACTCGGTGGAACTCAACTTACCTATTGCTAAGCCGACTACTTGATCTTTATGAAACTACGAAATTATTACAGCAAAATCTAGCAAAAGACAAAGAAAGAGAAGTTAGAAATGATGCGAAAAAAATGGAAAAGTTGCTTCTTAATCATGAAGATTTGTTGGGAATTCAAGAATTGGTCGAATTATTGGATCCTTTTGCACATGTCACAATAATAATGGACGGAGACCATTATCCTACTCTTTCAATAATGTTATCATTGATTAAAGTTTTACAAGAACATTTATTCCGAAAAGCACATACTCTTACCAATCCAATTATTCATAAGGTGCGTGATGAAATTGAGCTATCTTTTGGAGAATGCTGGGATAAGCCAGGATTAGAAGGATACATTGCTGCCATGTTAGATCCAAGATTTAAAGACCTAAGTTTTGAATCTGAAAAATTCGAAACAACAAAGAATGAATTACAATATCGAATGAAAAAAGATATGAGAAACATATATCCAACAACTTATGCTTCTGAAAACCATGTACCCTCTTTATTAAATTCACTGTTTGAAGAAGCTCCTCGCCAAGTGTGTCCTGTCGAAACTGAACTTAAGATTTATTTTGACATGTCCAAAATACCAAAACATGATCTTTCTGATCCACTTTATAAGAAATACAACCCATTAGACTTTTGGCACGATAATCGACTAACTCTACTCTTAATGGCACGGCAAGCACAATGATCATTGGCTATTTCAGGAATCTCAGTTCCATCTGAGTATTTATTTTCTGATGCAGGAAATGTAGTTAATGAAAAGTGAAACCATCTTCACCCAAATACAGTTCACGACTTACTTTTTTTAAAGGAAAATCAACACTGTTTTAATCCTTATTTCGATTTAGAGTAATATAGTTCTTTTAAAAAAAATTCATGTTAGTTTTACTCAATTACGTTTTTAAAATGATTCAAAAGCATTTGGTTTGAATGGTCTATGCAAAGGTTTTACTTGTAGTAATAAAGAATACTATAAATAATAACATTTTACATAGTTGTTATTGCTGTTACCATTAATAGCACTAGTGGTTCCATTTTCATTTTCGTTGCCATTGTTATTACGGTTATTGGTGGCTTTAATTTGACGCAAACTGAAAAAAAGATGAAAGCTAAATATAGAATATGGTACAAAAAATCGACCGACCAACTGTGATCGATAATTTTGATGATAGTCAGTCAGTCAATTTTTTGTTGTCGACTAGGATCACTACTCACAACAACACTTACCAGAATAAAGAAAATAAGGGAAGAATAACAGAAAAACTGAAATCGCCACCGGAAGGCTTACAAAATTCCTAAATCCATGGTGAAACTGTGACACTTCGCCGAATGGAATGTACAATGATGAAGCGCAGTTCCCCTATAAAAAACTGGAAAATAGTGAATATGAGAGCAGCATGTTCTCAAGAAATAGTGAAAATAATTTTCACTGGAAAAACAGTCAGTCCTTACAGTCAGAACACAATAATAATAATATTATTAATAAAATGAAGAAAAAGAAAAATAATATCTACCCAGCCAATCAAAATAATAGATTAAAATTGGATCAATCAGATGATGTCACATGGATCTACAAAATTAACACCATGTACACTATTAATAACACTAACAACACTAACAATTCAATTAAAAATAGAAAAATAGGAGCATAGAACAATCCAGAAATTGTGGAACTTAGCACAATAACTTGGAAACTTGACATAAAAATAAGCCCAGACTATGGATCCACAAAAATTGAAGATCTCATCCCTTTTGACCTAATATCTAGCCAATTTAATTTATTTTTCTTATATAATTAATAATTCGAATTTTATATAAATAGGACTCCTTTTTTATCATTCAAATATCAACTTCAAATTTTTTTGATTATTATAATCACACATAACAATTATAATTTCTTTTATTATTTTTATTTTATTTTTAAACAATGTTTACTATTTTTCTATCATCAGAAATACTAGCCTTATCCAACCAATTGTTACAAATAGTGAAAGAACAAAACTGTCCATATCGAGTCATTGTAACCAGAAATGAAATTCACTATTTCCATGAAAAAGAAATCAATATAATTATTGAACAAGATTACATGCCAGAACAACCAATAGAAGAAGCTAACATCACTCCGGCACCAACATTAACCAGATCAGAAGCAAGAATTTTGAATGGAATCAAGAACACAATAGATGAATTTGAATGCACACCCTGTTCACCAAGATTAATATCTAATACTGATACCCTAGCTGATTACTTTGTCATGTTGGAATTAAAATGTTACACTCAAAACGCATATACTTTGAAATTGAATGCATCTTAGTAAATTTGACAGCAGTATATCCAGCATCAAAACAATATGCTGAAGCACAAAGTATTGTGAAAAGATGTATCGTCACCACCAATATCAAGCAGAAAGTTTATACAGCATTTAGAATCTACTCATATTTCCAACAAAATCCTGGGTATATATTATTAAAAAATTTGGATCAATATTTTAAGCCTAGCACTATTGGAAGATTGACTGAACACAATAGTAATAGACTTAGAACCAGAATTAATTGGTTAATTGATTGTTTTACGGAGCAAAACACTGAC